TGAAATAAGAAAATAGGTTCTTGCATTTTGCCACCAACTCTCTTAGAACCTGAAATATAATTAGGTATTACAGTATTTCCAGCACTGGCTGGTCTTCTATGGCTTGCCAGTGTCTTGACAATCGGCATTGATGAACAGTTCTGATCTACAGCAGCTGAAGGTAGAGAAACGGATTAACATATTTTCATTTGAGAGGCATCGACTGCCTTAGCCTTTGTCTGCCCTTCTCTGTTGTTCACTTCATCTAAAAAGGGTTATGACAGCAAGAATAAAGGCTCCCAGAAATAGAACACACTTGACATTTAATAGTGGATTGAGTACAGTGCTTGCTCAGAATATAAACTGTATTATCATTACTTTATTATTACTAGGTGTATAGTAAGAGCCTATTCACACCAGGGTGATCAGTTGTGGTGCATTCAACACATTCATGTTAAATAATGCATTACCATGTGTTGCGTTATGGCATCCCATATATAAAGGAAGAATCAAAAATTGTAGTTGCTGCATTTTTGGTAGCGTAGCACATCACAATGTATGGTTGTGCATTACCGTGCATTGTGGAAGTGCACTGGGGTGCCATTCCGAATGAATGAATAACAAACAGACACAAAAGTACACAGTCAAAATAAATGGCACTGCAGTGCACCAATACATGTGAGGTGTTACTGCAATGCAGTGGTGTGAATGGACCCTAATGGTGTGAATGAACTGCACTTTGTGTGTTGCAGTGTGTTGCAGTGCAATATGCGTTGATTTTCCATCCAGATGGCTATGAAGAGAGTCTTGTCAGCAGCACAGGCAGCATGTAGCTGAGAGATCAGCCAGTTCTGCCTGTAGAGTTCCATCACTTCCCCTTCACAGCAGAGAATTGACATCACCCAGCATCTGAACTCTCATCTCCCACCAAACTTGCCTGATTAGCTAAACTTAACCTTTGATGGCAGAAGCTTAGCAGGAGGCCAGGGCTAATTTTACTGCACCCAGAACACCATCATCAGGCCTTCCCCTCTATATGTGATATCAGAGCAACGCTTCCTTCCCGTCTGACATGATGCTACTTATTGTACAGGGCTGCAAATAACAGGGCCTGTTGAACTTCCTTAGGTGTTGGAAATTTCTGCGCAGCCTAGGTAAGTTGGACTGTGCATACCCCAGACTGGGTAGTGAAGAATAGCCAAGATTTTTATAGGGGGTGAGGACAGGTGCTCATTGTCTGAACAACACTGCTGGTCTCAAATAGCTATGGACTTCAGTCCTTCTCATACAAATTACTACTAATTGTCAGCTAGGGAAATCTGCTTTCATGCATGACCCCGATTGATGCCACTACACTGACGCACACGAACCCACTTGCCACCACTGCTCCAATGTGCACCCTAGATCAGTGGCTGAATGATGAAGATCAGCAGTACAGTGGTCATCCCTGTGCTTTTCTCTCCTGTGAGTAAATCCACATTCCTAGACTGACAGCAATATACACACAATATAAATGGGTTAAATGCTTTCTTTCTTCTTTAACCCCTCTATCTTGTAGCACACATTGAGAAAGCACGGAGTTATGTTGAAGGAGAACTATGAGATGAGTGATTTCCACTCACCTCATAGTTCTAGCCGACCTGTGACAATGAGACTGTCACAGGTCGGCTCAGTAGATCGGGAGGTGAGCACTGTAGCTCGCGGTATACTGAGCTTAGGGTAACGGGAGGACGCTAGTTTGTGTCCTCCCGTTACCCTAAGGAGAACTATAGGGAAAAACACTGACACTGAAAACACTGTTAAGGCTTTTCCCCATAGTTCTCCTTAGGGTAACGGGAGGAAACAAACTAGCGTCCTCCCGTCACCCTAAGCTCAGTATAACGCCAGCTGCTGAGACGCCACATTATACCGCGAGCTACTGCTCACGGTATACTGAGACGCCGCAGCTGAAGCGGATCCCGACCTGGACGTCGGAATCCGCCCAGCTGTGTGAGTGACAGCTGGCTCTGCCTAAGGTAAAGACGGACATGACATAGTCGTGAAGTCTCTAAAAGGATGATGAGTGGAGGGTTTTCTGCCTGACAGCCTGGGAATTTTTTTTTTACAATTTGTCTCCTCCCAGCTGAGTTTCTATTTTATATGGGGGTGGGAGGTTATTGCAAACGCAATATGTTCAGATGGGTTTCCTCCTTTAACTACCTGACCTCTGAAACCCTACAATATCTGTAGGTGGCGTGAGTTCAAAATAAGTTAGTTTGTACCTAATTATTGCAATTGCGTTACTTAATTACAAGCTTGAAAAGTCTCCATGTGGGTTGTACAACATAAGCGCCACGTGAACACCTACATATACCACACACTCATATTAAAAATAGTAATGGCACTTCACTCAAAATACGCCCACTGCACAATTAACATTACAAAACAAAGTAATAGAAAGGAAAACTTTTCTCAAAAGCAACAAAGCACATGTTCTATAGTCCTCTACGGTGTGAAGATTATATTTATAAACCAACAACAAATAGCACTATGCAAATATTACTTAATTCTGATCAAAACTATTTCTTAATTTCTTATTATTCCTATTAAGAAGCTTGGGATCAAAATATTTCAGTCAGAATCTGAAAAAAGATTCAGAAAGATTCTGAATAGTAACGGTCTCCAGGCTAATACTATATTTAAACAGGATGTATATGGCTGTAATTTCACTAATCTGGTTACTGTGGCACAGGGCATATGGACTAGTTGCTTGGGAGAAAACAATGAGCTGGTCTGTGTTTTCACACTTAAAGGGAAATTACACCTTTAATAAAAGAAAAAAAATGTGCATTTAGTAATTTTTTGCATTGGATCCAGTAAAGCATTGCAACCATGATCAGTGGATCACAGGTGCAATGCTCTAGCTCCTGAAGACTCTTCCTCCCATCCATGTCTGTACCCTGGCATGGTCATTTAGTAACATGGATGGGAGGAAGAATGAATGTCACTGCACTTGTATTTCTTTAAGAACTACAAATCCCTCTGCCACAGTGGCTGATAGAACTTTAATTTTTTCCATTCACAGATCCTGTCAAATGATCTGTGAATGGATGATATGACTGTGTGGACAGAGTCACACACGCTTGGGGGGAGAGACGAACCCCACAGTCCGGGTAAGTGTGGGTTGGGGGATGTAATCTGACCATATTTCATGTTACTCCCTGAATATGGGTGTAACATGAAACGTGGTCCGAAAGGTAAATATAGCCTTTAAGGGCATGTTCACACAATGTCCAGATTTTCGGTCCAGACCAGAATAGTTAGCTCCTGGACCAAAAACACATCTCAATGTATCCCAATATGTTTTCTGGGCTACAGTTCCCAGCTTTGCAGTGCTTTCCGTTCCAGACCGAAAATAGTGCATGGCTTATTTTTTCTGGTCTGGAACGCATCAAAAACATGTCACAAATGCACGGAACGCAACTGAAAGGCCATTTTAAGCTAAAAAAAGCATCAGAACGCAGCAAAATCGTGGTAAAAATGCATGGCACTGCGTTTGCAGATCTGTTCCAGATCTGCTCCAGACATGGTGTGAACATAGCCTAAGGGCTTGTTTCCACCAGCCCGTGAGCTCATCACACTGTCCCATACCTGGATCGCATATACAAAATCTCCTTGGGGCAGGAGGGGGTGCGGAAGTGCCATTCATGTCAATGGCATTGCAGACATGCATGCACTATTTTTTAGATCGTACCAGACTGGAGCGCAGGGCATTGTATTACCACGCAGTCCTGTGCGGTCGATCGCACTGTGGGCAGGAGGCGTGTTTGCAGTGCCATTGACATGAATGGCACTGCCACGCCCCCTCCCACCCCAGAACGCAAGTACACTTTGTGTATGCAATCCCTTGCGTTCCGGGCACGGGACAGTGCGGTGAGCAAACAGGCTGGTGGAAACGAGCCCTAAAAGACTTTCAAAAAAACGTACACTTACCCACAGTAACTAGCTCTTCTTCAGTAGTACAGCTGTAGCCTGTTTATTACCAGTGGCCATGCCTGTATTGTAAACCCTCAAAAACTTGCACAGGGCCATCTCCCAAAACTAGAGATACTCAACACATGTTCTATTAAGGCAGGTAAACAGCTAGGGTGGGGGTCATAGTTTATATTAGCTCAGAAGGGCTAGATAAGGTGGATCGGTGTACTTTTTCTGAAAGCACCTTTGTGTTGAAAATCAGTAATGTAATGAGCCTAGCATAATGATTAAATCAGCAATATAAATAAGTATAGCATTTTAAGATTTTGCCATGGTCTGCCTAACCTAACTCTGTCGCTAAAAATAAATCAACCAAAACGGTGGTCACCTGCATCATCACTTCAACCATCAATGTTTCTGTGGAGGAAAAAGTACAAAAAAAGTACGAACCTATGATCTACAAGTCCCAGAATTTACTGCACATAAGGAAACTCAGTCAACCAATTAGCTAACAGGTGGGCATGAGGAACAGAGAAAGGGAGCTGATTAGTATAAACTTGACATTTTTGGTGTATTCAGCTGGATTTGTCTTCCAAGTTCAGCCATCTATGACCCTATAATGAAACCTAATCTGTGCTGGTTACTGCCTGCAAACCTTAGATATCAATGAATACATTTGTGAACATAGCACTCAAAAGCCTTGGCTACAAAAACACCAATTAATACAGTTATGTATTTAATAAGAATTAGTATAGTTACGTGTAACTAAAGTAAGTATCCCAATTTGGCCTGGTATCAGCCTCCTGTAATAACCTCAAATTAAGCTTTCAGACTAAGAGGGAAGGCCAGCACTCTCTAAGCTTAACCGTAATCTTTTGTAGGGAAAATGAAATGAAGACCTAGCTGTGCTGTCTGGTAGGTTTGCATGGATCATAATATTCGCTCCACAGAATTAGACATTCTTTGGCAGGCAAACCATTTTCTATATGTGTATTTCAACAGTGTACTTAGCTGCTTGCCTGGAGTTCACCATTATATTAGCCTAATTGTGTAAAACAAACTCTTACCTCTCCAAGAACTTCAATGATCTCTCCAACTTTAAGCTCAAGTTCATCTTCATTTTGCGGAAGATAGCTAAAGGCGACTTGACACCTCCTCCTCCTTGTTCGTTCACCTGTGCATATAACGAGAAAGAGGAAAGCCAGAGTCAGCCATGCTCAGCTTGCTTGAATAGAACATTTTAAATGCTACTCTGTTTTATTTCACATTTTGTGGTGTTACTGTTACTACCAAGAGGGCAGCCTGACTCATGAACCTTGATAGTACACAAAAGCCTGTAAAGCTGGCTTTAGCACATTCTGTGATATCTTGTGATATGCTGAGATGCTGAAAACAGCAACTCAACAGATACATGGATGCTTATATATAATCACAGTTTTACAATACTTATTAAAGTGCGCCTATCCTTTTGTGTCCCCCACTTAAAATACCCGACTCTCCTCTTCCCAAAATGCATACTTACCTTCTTCCTGTGTCTGTGTCCTCCTGCCGTATTTATATTCTTCAGAGAAAATCAGAAAATCTTATTTATGGAGAAGCAGCATTGTCACTCGCGGACAGGAAGTATATTAGGAGTACAGAACACCCCTTCTTATTGCCATAACATAAAAGGTAGGTGTTCTGTAGTGGGAAGCAGGACTCATAACATAGCTTTAGATAAAACTGCAGTGTGCATAGGATGCAGGACAGCGCTACATTTCTGACAGGATCAACAAGTATCATTTGCACTTACCAATCAGGCATAACAACATGCTTTTTTGGTGAGGGGTTAGAACCACTGTCAGATTTTAATTGCTTCCCATTAGGGAGATTTACTCCCCCTAATTGTCCTGATCACAAATGTCACCAGGAATGAAAGGGAGGAAACAGAAGAGAGATCCTCCAATAGGGACACTTGTTCCCGGGACAACTGTCAATTTTCCTCACTTTGAAAGTTATCCTCCCACATTCTGCCAGGAATGACATGAAATTAAGGGAAATCTACTTAATAAGACATAGCTGGCAAAACAAAAACAAAAAAACTCCCCTATCCCTCCCCTATCCTATCTGGCTTTAAATATACTTTAACAGGCTCTAAGGGAGCAAAAAAGTGTTTATTGTTATGGTTCACATACACTTTAAGACTAATTATCCTTACACTAACGCCCTATAATGTAAACTTAAAGCAGAACTAAACTCCGCCAATAGTCCCCCCTTATGATGTAACGTCCGCAAACTGCCTCGCCAAAATCTTCTCCCGGGTTTTGGGTTTTTGGCCATCTTCTGCGCATGCACACAGGAGATAATTCATCCTGGCACCTGGTGGATACCGGGATTGTACTCTAAGCTGCACATGCAGAAGAGATATAAGAGTATGTCTTTCCTGTAAAAAAAAAAATCTTCCTTCCTGCTTGCAAATTTCTTAGGGGTCTATTCACAAAGCTGCCGAAGGATCTAGCCGTAGCTTCAGCTGATCCTTCGGCTAGCTTCGGCCCCAGGACCCCTTTGGTTCAGTAGAACCGAAGGGCTGCTGTACGGGCTTTTCACTATAGCCTGTACAGCTCCAGAAGTTGGCGAGCGGCTCAGTTGAGCCGAAAGCATGTGCTTCGACTCGACTCAGCCGAGGTGAAAGCTCGGCCACTTGCATGCAGAGACAGATCAGCGTGAGATCAGACCTGATCTGTCAGTACACTGAAACCCGGCGGAGCCGCCATGATATCACAGTTCAGCATCTCCTGGTTACCTAGTGACCAGGGGACGCTGAACTGTCATGAGCGCTTTTGGAGCCGGCGGTGATATCAAAGCCGGCTCCGACAAGCTCTCATTGTAATGACAGCTGGTCCCGGCCAATAGAAAACAGTTGGGCGGAGCTAGCTGTCACTGCTAGCGCCGCGCAATCGCTTTCTACCTCTTTTTACAGTTTTCTATTTGGCTCGGTACTGAGCAGAATAGCCGAGCCGAATGCCGTTGGAGTTGGAGAAATGACTGACCCTCTGTCCAAAGTTTCAATGTGAGACACAGGGTCTGAAAGTAGATGACTACTATTCTGTTATCTATTCAGGTAACTCATTGTGCTCTTGGAATCCTTTGTTATGTATTAAATTGTTATAAATCACAAAAACTATTTTAAATAAGATTTTAAGAAAACTGAACAAGATAATTAAAGTTTTGCTTTAACAATTTGCTTTCATTACTGATTTTACTTGTATGGGGGTATTATATTTCACAGATTTTATTGCATGAGTATATTTTTTAGTTTGCAATAATGCTTGTATTTTATCTAGTTCTACAATCGTGGATTCTTACAGTAATGTGGTCTATTAAGAGGTTCTGTTCTGTACTGTTTTGGGTTATTGTGTTGGCTCTTCAACCTGCACGATTGTTTTTTCATACATTTACTTGGGGTAGGGCTAGCGCCACTGGCGCAACTACCAGGGTCGCAGTGATCGCAATTGCGACCGGGCCCTGGCGTTCCGCCACTTGGGGGGTGCCCAGCGATGAAGAAGAGGGCCGCCCCGAGATAGTGCCACTCAGGGGCGGACTGACCATACGTGGCCAGGGTCGCTGACGGGGGTACAAGCAGCCTCCTGTACCGGATCGGGCCCCAAGCAGTCAGGTAACAATCGGGGGGGGCGCATAGTTGGGGGTAGGAGGCGCCGGCCGGGCAGCTAACACAAGGCCCCTTCTTGTGTGCTGATCCATTCGGAGACTCTGCACAGCTCACACAGCATGTGTCGTGGGCAGATCGCTGTCATCTGGCAGTTGTGCAGAGAAGCAGCAATGAGTGCCCGTTCCCCCACAACACCGGCAGAAAATTCAGGGGGATGGGTAATGTGCAGCAGAACCGCAGATTCGAGCGCTGTGTGACCCTGTGAGCCAGGTATTGCTTCACCTCGTGCTGGTGTATGTAGTCGGGCTGTTGGGGCGGAGTGTCACCTGTTATTCGGGCTCTTTGTTTGGACCTTCTGGAACAGAAACAATAAAAATAAAGTGGCCCAATTACAAGCAGCATGGGAGCTACTGGACAATGAGTACCTGGAGGTGACCTGCGGGCTGAACAGACAGCAACTTCCAGCCTTGGTGAGTGTAATCCTAATACCGCTGACCTGGGCACCTCACTTTTCATACCCCTGACCTTTGCACCTTACCCCTAAGCCCTCATTCACACAGCTAACTGTTGGCCCGTACAGATGCGTGCGGCGTGCACGGCCGTATCGGACCGCTCCCAGGAAGGACAGGTGCTGCGTGTGATATGTGCGCAGCAGAAGGTTCTTCTGTATGGGAGTACGTGACCGTACGCTCACTCGAACTGCACATCCATTCGGGTGTCTGTGCTCGGACGCAGACAGGAACCATCCTGTCTGCGTACGAGTATGGACACCCGCACCCACACGGATGTGCAGTTCGGGTGAGCGTACGGTCACTGGGATGCTGGGAAGTGTGTGTAGTGCTGACTTTTATTATAATGTATTGCATTGACTTGTAGTCCCGCATAGATGGTGGTATTCTGCATTGCTGTATGATGATTATACAGCAATGCAGAATAGCACCAACTATGTAGGGCTACAAGTCCCAGCAATGCATTATATTTTTAAGTAGGGATACACCACTGCCAATACTGGGCATTTTCACAAGTATCGTACTCGTTAAAATGCCCCGATACTAAACGCAGATACCGGTGTTCTGTCAAGATCACTGAGATAGTCGAATTTGCAGACCTCAACATCTGCGCTTGCGCACAGACCAGTGTTATCGAGGAAACAGGCATTTATTGACAAAGTATTTCGTTTAAATCGTTAATTGTGACTGGTAATAATATTTTATCTTTACTGCCATGGACGGCATATTATTAACGGTCACAATTAACCATTACAACAACCTGACCATTAGGCATCTGTGTTTGCAGCTTGTATCAGCAGACTATCATCCAATGTAATGCAAATCATTGTTCATACAGTATATAAATATATACTATATATAAATATAGATAAAAAATGAACAATGATTCATACAGTATATTGCCTCCTTGTCCCTTTAATCACTTCTGCTAGAATTTTAAAACCAACTTTTAGACCAACCAGTCTTTTTAGATAGATCACTGTGAGACAAAGAGAAAGGTCAACTCACATGGAATTGTTTACTGGTTAGTGTGAACAATATTTAACGTAACAAGCCTAGAAGAGACTTATTATAAAACACAAAATCTGATCAAATCTGCCTCCTTTTTGATTATACTGCAAACTGTTGGCTTGTAGATGAGCAGAGTTTGGATTTTTGTTTTGTTCTTTTGGGTAACTTTGTGAGGATTCTACATTCTAATTTTAACTGTAAATGATATGGAGGCTTGGTAAGTCAGAATAAAGACATTATTCCACCGGGATGTGAATAGCGGACCTTTAATACAGTGAAGAGTAAATCACCAAATAACAATTCTATAAAATCTACTCATACACTTATCTTAAAGTAAAATTAAACTCAGGAGTTAAATCTTAAAAATGCATTCAATTACCTTGTTTGTATATCGCTCAGCGGTAGATCCTCAAATCATCTCTGAATTCATGCCGACACTATCCTTCCTTCTAGAGGGTGGCTACTTTTGTTCCCCATGGCATCTCTGTGTGTGTTGTAAAGTAGACACCACTCCAAGCTTGCTTCTGTGATGGACTACAATATCACAAATAGTTTAGAATACTAATTTGTATTGAGTTTGTAGTCCATCACGAGAACACGCTTGGACCTGTGGCTACTTTACAACACAAGGAATACCATGGGGAACAAAAGTGGCCACGCTCCAGAAGGAAGTACAGTATCACCACCAATTCAGAGATGATTTGAGGATCTACAGCTGAGTGATGCACAAGTGAGATACATTTTTATTAATAGTTAAGGTATTTAAATGCATTTTAAGGATGCTGAGTTTTGTGTCGCTTTAAAGTCAATTGAACAGAATTGGCATTTGTAAATAAAAGTTTAAAAATGTGCCATTAATATAAAGATGTACTTTGCAACTAAAACAAACATGCAAGAAGTAAAAGTTGTGTATGTTAAGAATCTGAATTTGCAGTTTTAATTTGTTGTAACTGTGCAGCCTTAAAGGAGAACTATGAGGTGAGTGATTTCCACACCTCTGAGAAA